AATGGCAATACATTTTTGGTTTGACTTTGCTGCATTGTTTTTTCTTGTCTTTGCACATCAGCTCTGTCTGATTTTGTCTCAGTCATGTCATCTTCTTTGGGTCTGCCCACTATGGCAGAATGCTTTAACCAGGGATAATTAAGCTTGCGTTTTCAGGTTTGCTTTAGGTTTGTACATCTCAGGTGTTTGAGGTTAACTTATTTAATTGTTATGTTGTCTTCATTGGGCAAAACGCACCTGTGGTGAGTGGATACATGCTTTATAGTCTTTGTAGCAAAGGGTGCTGCAGTGTTTGTTATGTTTATATGAATCCAGTATTCTGGTTGATTGCCAGAATATGGTGCTATTACCACAGGGTGGAAATAGGTAAAGTGATTACTGCATGGCTTTCAGAATAAGGCTACTGCCTGATATAACAATATTGCTGGACATGGGCATTGCTAGGTTAATTTTAAGGGTGCTTCACCAGACCTGGGAGAGGGTCTCTAGTTATGCACTGCATAATAATCGGTAACTGAGCTGAAGACAGGATTTTGGCCAAAACTTCACTGAAGTAAACTATAGAACTTACTCAAAATCTATAATATACAGAATAAAACATTGTTTAGTATAGCTGGATATCTGTTTTTTTGCTTGGTTGCTTAACTCTAGCTAGCTAAGTTTAGTTAATTTTGGGTTTAAGTGAGGTAAAGCTTTGTCATTGCTTGACAAGAGCACCTTTGCTTAGTCTGTGCCTGTTGTACGTGGATGGATATAATGTTTGTTATGCTAGCTCTGTGCTTAATACAAACTACGAAGAGACTGATGTGCTGTGTGCCAATTTGACCAAAGTATTTTTTGATATATTTAACACGGCCGATGTACTTGACACTTTCTTGCTGTTGCTACTCTAAAAGTGCATCATAAACATTTTGGGGTCATCAAAAAAAATTCTCTTTAGGGACCATGCCCCAAGACCCCCCTAGTACAGGCTTGTCCATGAACCTCTAGTGACACCCCTGTTGCTAGACATAAACCCATTTGGACATTATAACTCTATCTATCAAACTGGCCTACCCATTTTTTCACAGACCTACCAAATATTTTTTTTTCCTGTCTACGAGAAGAGCAGAGGGCTGCTGATAAACTGTGAAACAACAGATGGGCTACAGTCAATAATTATATACCTAGCTCCATGGGGAGCTCGGGAAGCATGGCCATGCAAATAGACTGTACGGAGATGCATGCTTACAGCATAAATAAGGTACTGTTGCCATTGTTTTTGTTGTTCTAGTTGAGATGTATTGTGCTGTGGGTGAGATAGTGGGGATTTGTTTGTTTACTGTAAAGAGAAATCGTATGGCTAGAAGTGACCTGCCTGCTATCCTGCTCTTATTGAGTAGCACTGGACTGGGCATTTCTGGGCCTTTGCAAAGACTGTTAATTCTAGTGCCTTTCAGTTTGTAAACATGATTCATTTTTCAGCCCTATGTGTACTAATGAAATGGTCAATGAGCGTAAATACCAGAGATAGCAATGATCCTCTGCCAAGTATCAGTATTGGACTGATATCAACAGAAAATGCTGGATTGGATATCTGATCAGTATTGGTATCAGCCAACACTCAAGGTTTCAATATTGGTATTGGAAAAGGAAAAGTGGCATTGTGACATCTCTACAGGTACAAAATATGCTTATCAAATAAACTGGCAACTCACTCATGTGCATGAAGCCCCAGCTAAAGGCTGTGGATGCAACACCCACAGTCATCTTTGGAATCATTTTTTCCCCTCTTCCCTCAGTTTTAGACGTGGTGCGTTTCTCAAGGGCATTCACACAAAATACTACCCTGCATTTGAGAACCCTGGCAAATGAGAATTCTGAACAGAACTAAACACAGATCACATCTGCCCCTCTAGTCTGAGTCATGTCTCTGCAGTGATGTTAAACGTAAGAATCACATGACAGACTGCATTCGTATCTTCTGTTCTCCTCTAAAGTGAGCACTAAGGTTCATTAGGAGGAGTATTAAATTAGAGTTTCTTTCTCTCTCTGACTCTTATATCTCGCTCATGACTTTCTACCAGTGTCTCTCTCTCTCTCTCTTTCTTTCTCTCTCTCTCTATCTCTCTCTCTCTCTCTCTCATGCCAATGCAGAAGCTTGAAAGTGAATGAGTAATTCTGTGCATGTCCAGAATCTGTGTGTGTGTGTGTGTGTGTGTGCATACTGGAGAAAGAGACAGGCTGGCACAGTTACGTAACACACACTCTCCAGCCCTTCACCTCTCCGCAGTCTCATGCACTCCTCTGTGCTCCTGGTACACTTTTCTTTGGTAGGCCACTCAAAGCTTTTCACTGATCTGATACCATGTTTTACAACAACTGCTCCTACTGAACAATAATCTACTGCTAATGCTAATAAGTGCTTTGCCTTCATTTAAGTACCGCACATAAAACTGGAGCTGGTTTTATAGGCTGTATGTGTGGGTGAGACAGGGTTGCTGCACACAGACTCAAACCCATTTGTAATGCATCATGTTGGGTGAGGATGGAAAAGCCCACTCCTGCTCTCACTCCTTCCTGCTAATCCCTTCATCCTCCTCCCAGCCCTACATCAGCAATTCATATACACTCTCACTCTCTGTTTCTCTCTACCTCCCTCTCCCTCTCTCCCTCTTTCTCTCTCTCTCCTTCGACCTCTTTCTTTTTCTCTTTCTTTCTTCCTCTTTCTTTTTTCCTCTTTCTACCTCTCTCTCTTTTTCTCTCAATCTCTTCCTTCTTTTTTGACACCCACCACCCATATTTTTCACTCTCTTTTGTACCTCTCTCTTTCTCTCTCTCCCCGCTCTCTATTACTTTTTCTGTCTTGTCTCTCCTTTTCCCTCACTCTATCTCTCTTTCCTTCTCTCTTTCTGACATACCACCCCACACACACATAGATCCCCACAATGCACCAAGCAGTGTGAACAGTGTGCTCGTCCTCCTGTTGGACGGTGAAGCTAGGGATGCAGACAGCGCGTGCGCTCTTCTTATTAGGTAACTGGGAGAAATTCCGCAGTCCCCTCACACGCATGCACACACAGATGTACTCCCCCACACACACACACACACACTCCTCCTGCAGCCTCGGAGAAATCTCAGAACAGGGCACGTGAGGTTCCCTCACAATGACATCAAAAGTAGCAAGGCAGTACACAACTGTCACGCTTCATAATCACACACTCAGATCTAATTGGAGGATGTAGCGTAAGGGGTTTTATTATTTAAAGTGAAAACAAAGCTCTGCGGCTGAATTTCATTCTTTAGATTGGATGCTTCTATTGAGCAGTCCTGCTGGGAATGCTTTGATCATGTGACATTGTTTAGCATTCTTGGACATCTTAAAATCCTTTGATTACATACTATTCTGTTCATTTGTGTCCAGCTGGAGAGCACCGGAAGCCTATGCCCTTATACAGAGAAAAGCCCCCTCTCTAAAGCCCCCTCTCCTCTCCCTCGCCTCTCCTCTCCTCTCCTCTCCTGGCCTCTCCTTTTTTCTACTCAGAACAAAGCTTTTCTCTCCTCTTCAAAACAAAGCTCTCTTCTCCTCTCTTTTCTTTTCAAAACAAAGCTCTCCTCTCCTCTCCTCTTCAAAACAAAGCTCTCCTCTCCTCTTCTCTCCTCTCCTCTCCTCTCCTCTCCTCTTCAAAACAAACCTCTCCTCTCCTCTCCTCTCCTCTCTTCAAAACAAAGCTCTTCTCTCCTTTCCTCTCCTCTCCTCTTCAAAACTCTCCTCTCCTTTTCTTTCCTCTCCTCTCCCTTCCTTTCCTTTCATTTGTGTCCAGCTGGAGAGCACTGGAAGCCCATGCTGGTATATAGAGAAAAGCCCCCTTCTTCTCTTCTCTTCTCTTCTCTTCTCTTCTCTTCTCTTCTCTTCTCTTCTCTTCTCTTCCCTTCCCTTCTCAACAAAGCTCTCCTCTCCTCTTTTCAAAATAAACCTCTCCTCTCCTCTCCTCACCTCTCCTCTCCTCACCAAACCAAACCAAACCAAACCTCTCGCCCACCAGCATCATTGAAATGCGCAGCCACGCGCTCCCTGTACCGCCCCCGCGCACTCTCCATCGGCCTGAGCGAGAATCCCCTTCATCTGCCAGGAAATTATGTCATCCACCTCTCCGCGTTTCCCCATCAAACCGGTTTCAAACCGGTAGGTTTTATCGCAGACAGGCGTGCGCGCGTGCGCGTGCACGGCGCTCATTGGGTCGCGTGCTTTGTCGCCTTACAGCGCGGTGGCAGATGAAGCCATGAGACACATCAGATCGTTAAGAGACGAGCGCAGGTGAACGTACAGCTCAGCCACGCAGGCAAGAGTGACGTCACTGCGATCAGCTCCACTCTGGTTTCCTCGGGGCTTCAGCACCACGGACAGCGGTGACTCACCCGTACAGACACAGAGACAGGGGGCTTCAGGCACTCTGGGACAACAGGCCATATGGAGCAATATGTTAGATGGTAATAAGGACATTTTTTTTTATTTTCCCACTAAAATTCTATAATTTCATTTCGCTCATTTAGAAAGAAACACATCAGTAGACACTTGCTAAAATTAGAATAAATAAAAGTTTCTTGTGTTTCTTGATGTGTCCCTAAATGCCATGTATGCCCCCAAATGCCACATATGCCATGTGTATATGTATATATGTATGTATATGTTATCTATATGTACACAAGTCTCGGCTGAGCAGGGCACTGGCCTGATGAAGTCCTCACTCGGCCTCTTTGTTATACAGTCGTGTAATAAATCACATATAGGCAGTCTCGTACTCGTAGTGCCCTGCGCGCGCGCTCATCCCCTCTCCTCTCTCTCTCCGTCGCAGTGGGCGGGGTGAAACAATGCGGCATTTTTATGAATGAAATTACGCCAGTGGGCTCCTACTCAGCGCGCTCTCTGATTGGCTGCGCGCGGGGGAATCGACCCCCCTGCGTCGTCACTGACGTCAGAAGGGACTCAGTGAAGGCGGAGAGCGCAGCAGATCGGGCTGTCACACAGAAGAGCTCACAGAAGAGGAACGGACGAACACAGAGAGCAGCCGAGGAGCTTACTGAGGACTTTGCACTGGACAGAGGCGCTGTTGGATTCTCGCAGCGCGCGCTGACACTTCGTCCAATAGCACCGTGATTTACCTGGAGCTCCGGTTTCAGCTCTCACTGCGCGCGACTCTGCCTGGATGCTTGGCTGCTGAGCGCTTCAGTAAGTTTGCGTTACTTACCTTCGTGCGGGGTTTAAAATGGGATTAAATGTGGACCAGCGTTCTGGACTTTATCGTCGTTGTTAGGCTGTAGACCCTGAACTCCTGATCCAGGCGCATCATCTTCACTACATTATCAGTATCAGTGTTTATCAGTAATCTCAGCACGCGCGCCTCCGTCTGAGCTCGTGCGTCGCTGATCATGTGCGTGAATCAGGAGCTACTCAACCAGTTTAGTCGAGTGGTCACTGTTCACGTATTGAGCTCTGAAAGTAGCAATCTGCAGATGTGCAGTCATATTTTGACATACTGTATCTTGCATTTCTGTAACACATGTTACTGAGGGTCTTTGGACATGCTGTACCTTACATTTCTATTACATGGGCTACTGATTGTTTTGACCTGAATTCAATAAACCAACTGCTTTAGTGGTGTCTTACCAGTCACCAAATTTTACTGCATGACTGACATCAGGACAATCTAATTCTGGAAGCAAATACGTCAGCAGCTGTGCTGAGGACCCCAATTTTAATGGTATGTTATTTTTTTTCCCCTCTGCAGCAATGGCCCTTAATGATTCTGAAGTGGGCTTGGAGGTGGTCTTGGAAATTGACCCCCTCCTGCAGCTCTCCCCTGCCCGTATCACACCTGATCCACTGGCTGCAGCAGTTATGACCCCGTGGGATGTGGCCCTGTGCGTGTCGGGTGCCCTGATTTGCTGCGAGAATGCAATCGTCGTGGTGACAATCTTCACCTCATCCTCTCTGCGGGCGCCCATGTTCCTACTGATCGGCAGCTTGGCCTGGGCGGACTTCTTGGCCGGAGTGGGACTGCTGCTGCACTTCCTGTCCCGCTGGTGTGTGCCTTCGGAGGTGCTGGAGCTGGGCAGTGTGGGTCTGCTGGTGAGCGCACTCAGTGCATCTGTTTTCTCCTTGCTGGGCATCACCCTGGACCGATTCCTTTCACTCCACAGAGCGCTGACCTATGGTTCCCGCCGCACGCACACACACACACGCTGTGCCCTGGCCGTGGGATGGGCACTGGCTGGCCTGCAGGGGGCTCTGCCCGCCCTGGGCTGGAACTGCCTGGATGATGGTCAGTCCTGCAGCGTGGTGCGTCCACTGACCCGCGTGCACTTAGCCACCCTTTGTGGAAGCTTCCTGTTGGCCCTGGCCCTCATGCTGCAGCTCAACGCCTGGATCTGCCAGGTGGTCCTGCGCCACTCCCACCAGATCGCCCTGCAGAGACACACACTGCCCTCCGCTCGTACACACGCCCGCCGCCGGGTACACACCCTCGCCTTCATCCTGGCAACCTTCGCCAGCTGTTGGGTGCCCTTCGCCCTGTACGGTCTCCTAGGCGATGGATCATCGCCCACTCTGTACACATATGCCACACTGGTGCCGGTCACAGGGAACTCTCTGCTCAATCCTCTCATATATGCCTACAGAAACACACACATCCAGAAGGTGCTGAGGCAGGCCTGCTGCTGCTGCCTACCAAACGCATCTCACAAAAACACTCACACACCCAGTGATGTCTAACATTCAGCCAGCTTCACATTCCATTGAAGAGCACAGCAGAAAATATACAATAAGGTGCCATGATAGGTTGTGCTTTAACTTCATTACCAGTGTCAAAGTCACATACAAACATGTACATTCCTCTTTGAGAAACATAAAAATGTCACTGTGCCAATATAGCCAAGACCTCTGCCTGACTCGTGCTACACAAGTCACGTGTATCTGATGTATGACTCACAGTCATTCTTCTGCAACATTTCAAATGTGTACTGTTTCAGGTTCTGTTTTTTTTGTGATCAAAATACCTTAAGAGTCTGTGTATTCATTTTCAATGTACCAGGAACAGAAATGACCTCTACTCGACCACTGCAGTAGCTTTCACATTCAATCATATCAAATGAAAATAAGAATAGTGTTTCCTTAAGGATAGTATTGCTTTAATTGTCTTCAATTTGTGCCTGATACTTTTAAAAAACTCTGACATTCAGAGGTTATAGATGGAATTAAAAATCATTTGCACTTTACAATGATGACTTGACTTTTTCATACGTTTTATTTGAATGCTATTATTGCCAATTGTGTAGCCCTATTTATGTATTTATTGATTGAACTATTTGCCATTTGGTACTACTGCGAAATGATTGATGTTTTTATACTTCATAAGCGTCCTGTTTGCACATGTGAGAAATTTATGGTGCACAAAATGTCTACATGTATGAGCGAATGTGTTCTTTTTGAACCGAAATGTTTTAAGGAGATCTCTGTCTTGTTTATAACAAGAAATAAACAAATGATTTGTAGTAAAATGATTGAGTTTGTTTCATCTTTTGCACGATGTAAAGAAGAAAAAAGACTCATTGCAAGAACACACTTGGCGTATTTGGATAAATCTGGCATGAGAGCCATACTGCTGACAAATCACATGCAGTATTACATAAACCCACTGCATCACTGCAAGGGAATCGTGCCTCTCTGCCTCCTCATTTCTACTAAGCTGGTTCAAAGAGTATATCTGAGGGAGGAATGCAGACCGAGCACTGCTAACAATAAAGAGGGATTCTAGTGTAGTCAGTCACTTTTTTTGGTAGCCAGATCCAAATGTCTTTGTGTAGCTGGAGACTAATCCAATGGAATTATTATGTAACTGCAAGTAGAACAGAGTGAAAAAGATGTTCAGAGCATGTTAATGTAAAAAGGAAAATAATCTTCTTCATTATGATTTGATGTATATGTAAAGCATTACAGTACACTATCAGCAGCTATCAGCTGACTACACTTCTGTATGCAAAAGTTTGGGCACCCTGGCCAAATTACATAATTTGGTGATTTTTCAAGTGAAAATAAGCGAACACAAGCTCTGCAGCTAGTTTTGTGTTTAAACTATTTTAATTTTTTTCTGCAAATTTAATGTGCATATTACACTAAAAAAAGAGAGAGACACTGATTGTTGCAGACAAGTGCTGAAGCACATAATTATTGCCTATTCAAGTTCCAAACTGTCTCTGGTAGCAACATCAGCAAAAGAACTGTGCATCAGGAGCTTCATGAAATGGGTTTCCGTGTCCCAGCAGCTGCACACAAACCTATGATCACCAAGCGTTGACAAGAGTGGTGTAAAGCACGCTGCCACTGGATTCTGGAGCAGTGGAAACACATTCTCTGGAGTGATGAATCATGCTTCACTATGAAGTCTGATGGAAGAATCTGGGTTTGGCAAATGCCAAGAGAATGCTATTTACTAGAATGCATAGTGTCATTTGTAAAGTTTGGTAGTGGAGGGATAATAGTTTGGGCCTGTGTTGGGGGGTTTTGGCTTAGCCCTTAGTTCGAGTAAACGGTACAGACATTTTAGACAATTATATGCTATTATATGCCAACTTTGTGGCAGAAGTATGGGGAACGCCCTTTTCTGTTCCAGCAGGACTGTGGCCCTGTGCCCAAATTGAGCTCCATAAAGAACTCCAGTGGCCTTGACAGAGCGCTGACCTCAATCCCACCGAACACCTTTGGGATGAATTTGAACGTCGGTTGCGGCCATATGTCCCACGCTCCCATGGCAGCACCAGCCATCGACTGAAAGCCACATAGCCACCCTTCAAAAGTTAGCCATCCCAATGACCTCACAGACTTCAGAGTCCCTGGGGTCCCCCCCCTTCGATGGTATCTCCACAACAGGAGTTCCAGAATGTCCCTTGTCCCAGTCACCACAAATGTCACGCTACAATGCTCCTTGGCCACGCATGTCCCCAGTCCTAGCTGTACCATGTCAGCCATCATGTCAGTGCTCGCTGACATGGCCAGGAAGCAGACGGGTCACTTCTAACCATAAATGTTCTACCACCCCACAGCCCAACACAGTATCATGCAAATAACACAAGCACCTCATTGAGCTACCAATGGCTTATTTACAAGAAATGCCACAGTATGTTTGGAGAAAAAATCCAGCAGCATTTGGTTAAAGAACATCTTACCACCTATTAATCATATAATCATACCTGTTAATGTATTACGCTTTGGAGTTGTGTAGCAACCACATTTTGCAAACATCTCTGCAAATTATGGAAGTTTTCTGCAGGAAAGAGTGGGTGAAAGTAGTAACTTAGTAGGGTATCCAAACATTTGCACATGCTGCTTTTTTAAATAATTAAATAATCCAATATAAAGGAACTATGCTTTATTATTATCCAAAATTTTAAGTAGTTTAAGGTCGTGTTCACTTCTTCTCACTTCAAAAATCAACCAAATGTGCTATTTGACAAGTGCACCAAAACGTTTTTGTGCTAGAATTCTATACATTAATTTCAGCAGTTGGTCTCTGCTGCTCTATTTCAATGCAAGCATGTTGTATATTAACCTTTTGTGACGGAGCTGCCCTCCGCCACAATATATATTTGCAAAGACTTCCTATGTAATGGGGACATTTCATATTCAAACAGTCAGACTCATGTTGTTTTTAAATAGCCTTTATTGATTGTTAGTGTTTATGCTGGAGAGCTGAAGTTGAATGGTGAATAAGAGCAAACCTGCAGGGGGAAAAAAAAAGAGAAAAAAAAACTTAATGTTGAATATGAACTGTTTCATTTATAAAAGTGTTAAGAGTTAATGTTGCTTGCTTTAGCAATTTAACTAAACAGTTTAAGCACTGTTATATTTCTGAACACTTGGGGCAGTCAAGAAAGGTTTAATTGAGTAACTAAATGAAATAAGAAGGCAAAAGTACTTACCTGTGAATAGATTCCAGAGGAAGGTAGCCATGTTTTCATCCAGGGAGGAAAACAGTAGCCTTTGTCTGGTGAGTTTTTATAGTGAACTGTACCCACGCAAAACCGGAAGTGACGTCACACAACTTCCTGTTTAGCTCTATAAAAGCCCTAGAGGGGGCAGAGTGAGCTAGTTGAATGGAGAAGTTAATGAAATGTGGTTGGAGCCCAAAGAATGCTGAAATTGTGATTGAATAAGAGGCTGCATACTAAGTTATATATTTGTAAATATTGAGTTTCATTTATTTTCTTTTCCTTTTTTTGCACTGGATAAATTGCATTTTTTTTTTGTTTGTTTTCTTCACTTAGAGTCAATAAACACCTACTTTTGCACCTAACCTGAAACATACCCACGTGTCTTTTCCACTGGACCATCACACCTTTAAGTTGTTTTTTGTAGTTTATTTTTTCCTCAATTTAGAAAAAATGAAGAAAGAAATAAAAAGAGAAGGAAAACAAAGGAAGATTTTAGGATCCTATTAGATGGTCAAAGAATGGACACCAAAGCAAGTTAAAACACCTCTACACTCCAAGGTCACAGGTTTGTAGCTGCTCCATTATAAATACTATGGAAAATCTAAGACAGCCGTTTAAAACAGAAATTGACTTCCAAAAACATAACAGCCGTTACAGCCTGTTGTTCAACATGATAGTGGACACTGAATCGGGGTATCCACAGACCACAGTAGTGGGCTAAGGATGTAAATGCATATCTAGCATTTCAGAGAACCACAGAAAGATACTAGGAGAGAATCTCTACAACAAAAGGCAAAACCAGAATAGAGGTGTTGAAGAGCCATTAGCTATTTTATATTTATCACAAAGTGCAGACACAGACCCCCCAGACCCTTCTCCAGATCCCTGCAGTCAAATTTTCAGTTATATTAGAAAAATGCTGACTAAGTAGCATTCAGACCCAGTACTTAAGTTGAATCTGGGGTGTAGAAGCAAAGAAACCACAAAAATGTAGTGCAGGCAGGCCAACACCTGGAATTAAGTCTACCTGTCTAGAATCACTGCATACGTGATCATTTGCTTATTTATTAGCCTATTTAGGTATAATTTGAGGCCATTTTTAATTTACACAGAGGCTCTTAAGTTGTTGGACAAAGGGGAAAAATGTGAAAATATATTCCACATATTCTATAGGCCACAATACTGCCAAGCTCACAACATGCTTAAAGCAAAATGTTTACATTTCATTTGCAGTCAACTGTGTTCTTGAGCCAACTGAGAATTAATCTGATGTATAGAAAACTATAAATGTATGACTAGAGAAAGATGAGAAACAACTAAAATAACTGCTTACCTTCCTCTGAGAAATGAGCAATGTTCTTCAAAACACCACAATTTTCCCAACAGTATCATTCAGTACCATTACCATCATTCCTTTCTCAGGCATCAGAGACAACCTCATTACCAACACACAAACACAGCATCTTGGAACTTAAGATCTTTATTTCATTAAACCAGTGATAGAAAATGTTTACAATTATTAACCAAATGTACCAAATAAAAAAGTAATTTTCTGATTTCAAATTCTTGCACAATTCTCAGTAAAAATTTGGCTTTAAACAAGTAGGCACTTAAAATAAAGCAGGCACTTTGGAATACAGGATAATGACATCAGCAAAACGACAGGACAAGGAAAACCACCACACGGAATGCCATAATGCCACAAGTGGCACTGAGGTCAGAGAACAGATACATTGCACCCACACAGAGAGAGAGATCAGTTACCAAGGCAACAGGCCATGAACACACAAAAAGGAATTTTGTTTGAGACTGCTAGAGCTTTTCACTCTGGGAATGAAGGGCCAATGCCATGAGAAGAATACAGCTCCTGAGAGCAACAAAGAAAATAACCAAGTGTTTAGTATGTAAATTATAATAATGTGGCTCTTACTTGGCCTGGGTGTAGGAAATACAGCAAAGCTTAAGGTGGTTAATACCAAGCTTTTGCAGATATGATACTAAGATCCAACAAGGGGGACCTCTCTCGCTCTCTCTCTCAATTTACCCATCTATAGCTGCATTACACTGGAACAGGCACTCTGAAACAGGAGCAGCAAGCTAATGATCTAAATAATTCACTGTGAGTCAGAATAAACCGTGTGCACAGGCACGCACGCACGCACACGCACCCACAGACACCGTCTGGACCTCTTACCCATACACTGTAGTTGGCCTCATTAAAGGGAAACAAGTAATCTGATAAGTGGAAGGTATAAAAGGAATGATCTTTCTTATGACATGTAATGTACACTTAGTCAGACCACTCCTCATCGTCAAACTCTGAAGAATCATCCTCCGAGTCACTGCACTCCACTGCGATACGGCGGGACAAGATAGCAGCCACATCATTGCCCACGACGTCTCTCTTCTCCTGCTCTCTCTGCTCCTCCACTTTGCGCAGGTTAAATCCTACACACACACACACAGACACACTTTTAGCAACTTTGCAGACATTTTATGAGGGTGCATCAGAAAAGTGACTCCTCTAAATGCATTACACAGACAAACAGATTGTGGTCCATGTCTACAACTAAACTAAACTAAACAGTGGTTACCTATCCTCAGTATGGAGGACCCATGCATTGCACATTTTTCTTTTGCTTTCATATGTGGTACTGAAATCCGATACATATCCGATCTGCAGCAATGTGACTCAGTCTGAACAGCCAGATTGGAATTCATGCGACTTTTACGTCAGTCCAACACAACATTTGTCATAAATGCATGCTGCTGAGGCTCATAAACATTAAGCTGATGTTTCTGCACCAAAAAATTAGAAGAGACTTATCGCAACCGCTCCGTGTTTGAAGAGATTTTGAAGAAACGGCTGAACGCGGCCGTAGGGGAGCGAGCCTGCAGATTCAAGAAAAAAAGTTTAAAGAATCCGAGGACATGAACCAAAGAAGTGACCGTAGCTGAATAACGTGACCTTTTTACGGCGAACTGGAACACATTGCGGGTGATAAGCCCAGCTGTCAATCATTGGAACTTCATAATCGCTCCTGTGATGCTGGCGAAGACGAAACTGAAAGCTCCGGAAGCGACAGGCGTTCGCTGGGTGTCGGGATTGTTTACCTCTGGACAAGCACGCCGCGTGAAGCATTGATCTTTTGCGCATGTGGGTCGGTTAAGGAGCGTAATCTGTTCAGACTAATGTCGCATACAGGTCACATTTAAAAGATTATGTGAACAGCCAAACAAAACAATCAGATTTGGTAAGAAAATCAGATTTGGGCCACTTTCACCTGGTGCGTAAACATAGCCTAAAATGACCATGGCAGTGGGTACTCCAGGGCCAGGGTTGGGAACAATTGAACTAGTCTAATACACTCGGCCCAGTTGATGTGTTAATCAGGTGAGGCAGTTCAGAGAAAATATCACTGGGTCATCTGGGGTTAGGAACTGTTGGAATAAACCACAATGACTTGTGGCACACCAAACCAATTTTTCTGAATGCTAACTCTAAAATTGAACTACCTGAATTGAAATCATGAATCTTGAACCTACTTGAAAAGCAGGTAGCTCCCACATGAAGCTTGGCTGTCTGATTACTAGAGATCCATATATTCAACTTTTATATTTTTGTGTGTGTGTGAGTGGTGCAGAGTGGAACGGCGAGAATTTGCCTGGAGCATTTTTTGGAAAGACCTACACAATGGAAATTCCCACCAACGCAACAAAGTTCTAAAGATATTACACATAGTGAGTCTCATTTCATCCACTTTGCAGTGTAAATGATAAAGAAAGATTGTGTTAAAAACACATGCATTTGTTCACCCTTGGCAGTTTTCTGGTTTGTAATTGAGCCATTGTTTCAAGCTTACACATACCAAAAAAAAACCAAAAAAACAAAATTGAACTAATTTTTGTTTAATAACGGCCATAAACTATGTCATTGATGAAGTTAAGAGCCATGTTCAAGACACAAAATAAATATCATATGAATCATATGGAGCTGACATGGAACTATTTTTCTCTAAAATGTGAGTGAGGAGCAGGAAAACCCAAAATGGAATTGTAGAGGTGATTACTGAACGCGTTGAGCAAGCAGCGGAAATGTCTGTCGCTCCATGCCACTCACATACTTAGATATAGACAGCCAAAAGCATCTTAGCAGTCGTTTACTTAACTAAACTGTGAAGTTTTAAATGGGTTGATATTTGTTGATGCAACACAGAACTGCAGAAATTTTTGGAACAAAAGCTGCTGATATTGTGTACACTTTGCAACTCTGAGTTATTGTTCAGTGGGTCAACTGGTAGTATGTTAGTTCAGATAATAAATTAACTAAACTAAGCCAATTTCAATAACACATAAGCTCTTTGGGCCTCATTCACCAATATCTTTATAAGTTTTTTCCTAAATATGTTATTGAGAAAGGTCCTAAGAAAAAGTGTACATGAGATTCATGACCTATTCTTTGATGAATGTCAGAATCTTTGTCAAAACTGCAGAAGTGGGTTTTAAGAAGAAACAACTTCTTGAATGGGGTCCTTTGTCTTCAATTTTCTTTTTATGTTTTATTTACTTTGTACTTCCTTTGAATATTTACTTTTTTTAACTTTCCTTTTTATTTTTGTTGTTTTTTGGGTATGTTTTTTTTAAATAAATAAACTTGCCTTGCCTAAACAGATCCCATTTTATACTAAGTACACATATAAATGGATATCAAGCTGCCCATGTTTTTGCTGTTTATTCATAACAGTATAAAATATTTTATCTGTGGGATATTCCACTACTAAAATGTTTAAAAATGTGGATATTTAAACAGAAAAAATGGTTGAAATACTCATTCTTACAGATGTAGGTGGACTTTGACATACCTTGGCGAATAGCTGCCAGAAGATCGCTGCGGCCATCGCTGACAGGGGCAGGCTGGGCCTTAGGGGCAGAGGAGGCAGGGGCTCCTCCAGACGGAGGAGGAGGAGCAGCTGGAGCATTAGGGGCAAAGCATGGAGGAGGGCCTGGGGGAGGAGGGGGTGGCGGTGGCGGTGGTGGTCCACCTCCAGCAGGGGGTGGTGGTGGAGCTGGAACACCAGAAACTATTGGGGGTGGAGGAGGGATAGAGGGAGAACCAGAGGAAAAAGGAGGAGGAGAAGGAGGAGAATCAAATCCTACTGGAGGTGGTGGTGAAATCACCGTCCCTACGGGAGGGGGAGGAGGTGGGGCTACAGGAGGAGCCACTGTAGGGCGGCCAGGAGGAGAGGATGCCATAACTGGTGGAGCTGGAGGAGGGTGAGTGGGGCTTAGTAAGCTACTTCGCTTTTGAGGCGAGGTTCCAGACTGCCCCTCATTATACCTGCAAGAGAACAGGAATTAGTCATAGCACAACAGATTCTTAAACACAGAGAGAACACAAAACTATACAAAACACCTACGTCATATCCGGAGGAGGAGGTGGCAGGAAACCATCATCATCAGACGGTGGTGGGAGAGGGGAACCAGGATCATAACTGTAGGAAGCAGTGCTTTGGTCTAGCGTTCCCTCAGAATCCATCAGACCCATATCATCACCTGAACCAATGCTGCCATTGTACATCTCTGAAGGACGACTAAAAAAGAAAAATGACACACGTACAAAAAAAAAAGCTTCTTTATGCAGACACAGGCTCAATTCTGTCATGTCTCAATCAATCCTTTGACTTTCACTTACCCTGCATCGGTCTTAGGGACAACAAATTCTTCTCCCATCTTACGCCGTTCCCACTCCTCTTTGCGGGTTTTGATCTTACGAGGGTTCAGGTTGCCTCGGTTTGGATTTTCTCTCTTCTCCTTCTACTCAAACAAACACATATATACATTTAAAGAAAGAAAAAAACACTACAAATTACGATTGTGATGTGCATGTGGTTGAATGTCTCACTCTGTGCTTCCGTTTCTCCTTCATGATGTCTTTGGTATCTTGCAACATCTGCTCTTTCCACAGGTCAAAGAAATAGGATGGATCAGTGTAGAATTTAAGAGCCTCTTTTCCATCATCCCTGGAACAAAGACATACAAACAATATTTAGCCAGACAACTACCCAGCAGAATATAAAACAGTTAGCAAATCATACATACAGTGGGCAAACACTGCATAGGCTGGACATGATACTGATCACAAAGTCATGGTTCACAGCTAATACCACTATATGCATGGAGTGAAAAGTATCAGGCACCATGGTAGTGTGATAACTGAAGTGTTGAAAAATGTGATGTCACAAGTAATATATGAATACGCATATTAAGCAGGAGTGCCCTAAAGGCATAACACATAACTAGACTGTTATTCAACCAAATCTTCAAAACAGAGGAAGAATAGATAGAGAACTAATAAAACATTAATGTTGAAACAGCATCTCTTCTTCACGTAATCAAATCCTTTAAATGAATGTGATCAAACAGTATGTTTTAAAACTCAAATTTTTACAGAATAACAGCTGCCCTTCTGGGAATGGCACAGACCATTTTAAGCAAACCTCCTTTTGGAATTCTCATTCTTTAAAATCTGAACCACTGCCGCTTATGCTCAATAAAATCAGAACACCACAAGCCCACCACTGAGATGAAATGTTTCTGAATGTGCACAGCCAACTATGCTTTAAAGCTTTTCCATAGTGATGGGACTCATAACTGTAGTAGTTACCTGTAAACACTAAGGATGCTGAGTGGAGGTGGCTGGTTGCAGGTCGTGTAGGTATCCTTCACTGGCTGGGGCAGAGAAGGCCGGGTGAAAAGCTGCTGATCCTGAATCAGATTAGAGCGAAAAGCCTTGCGAGTGGTGATGGCCTGCAGAGAAACTATGCAATGAAACAAAACAAGGAAGCAAGTGAGTGGAAGCATGAAAGTGAAACAAACAAACTAAAAAATGTACATTTGTGAATTAATCAGGTATTATTACACTATAGTAAGACAGACAATGGTAAGATGGGCATGGATTGCCATTTACATCATTAAGTCTGTTTTTAGCAACTCACAGAACAATAATGAGGTGCACATAGTAAAAGAGTAATCTTTTTTGGGCCATCTCTAGCCATATTAGTTAAAAATATGTATAATACTCTGTTTAACAGATTGCTAAACACAGTAGAGATAGTACTATAGATGTACATCATATATAAAATCTGCTGCGTATCACTGGGTGATGTCTCTATTTTACCTTCTTCCTCTTTAGGGTCTAGCTGTGTGACTTTGACCTGCAGTTTATCCACTCTCTCACCAAGCGTGTTCACCCTCTCTGCAAACGAGCTGGCCTGCTCAAACAGCTCGCCAAACACATCCTCTGCAAATTTGCCTGGGACATAACACATACACAGATATGTATAGTCAGCCGTAAACAGTCAGATCAAAAGCCTGACATAGCATGCAGAAGGAACCACTCACTGAGGGAGCCAAGCTGGCGGATGATATTGGCCAATGTGAAGTTGGTCACACACTCCAGCTCACTCTTCACCGCCGTGGGCAAAGTCTGGCGACACAGGTGCCGCGGCTCGATGTTCCGCATCACCAGAGGCATGATGACAACTCTGTTTCTCTCCTCCCTAAGGACGACAGAAGACAGCAAAGGTGAATGAGTGCTACAGGTTTTCACATACATAAAACTGTCCTGCGGTTTCCACCACATCCTTATTTTTGGCCATTCTTTGTGAAAAGTGACCCCATATGCACTTGTTTTTCCATGCACATGGCCACACGCACTGATCCAGCACATCCAGAAACACAAAACCAAAAAGACTAGTGCTCAAAGCAGAACCAAAACTGCTGCACATCTTCCTTTTCAGACACAGCTTACATCCTTTATTTTAGCACTATGACTGTATCAGCCAACTCTGTTTGTGGGACAGTCTGATTTGTGTCTGTGAAAGGAGTTGAACTGTCTGGAATAGTTGTATCAAACCTGTCTAGGCCTAAAAGTTGAACCATGTATTTGCAGAACTACAGTTTCTATGTACAAAAATCAGTTTCCTTTTCAATGGTTATTAACAGAATAGGCCATGTTGAATACAGAAACACTGACACATCAGTATAGCTGGGCATCGTTCAAAATTTTTCATCAATATCAATATCAATACCAAAACCTTGACTGTGATACCATTCCTGAACAATACTTTTTTTCAGAACCACACTTTTAACGACAAACTGAAAGTGAGTGTGGTTTGAACCAGAAATGAGTGTGAGGTGCTGAGAGTGGGTTACGGAATAATCAAGAAGCGCTAATATTAACATGCATACAGAATGCAATTTAAACAGCCTGTCACCAGTTGAGATTCTTTAACAAGCATGCTTACTGGCTCAGCGATACTGATATGATAACTACTTTCAATACTAAACAGTATCTAAGTAATTCTATCTGAATTTTGAAACCCTACACAGAGGCACTAAATACCTAGCTGGTTTGTGAAGTGAATCAGTAAATTTTGCCATCATTATAGAACTACACAGCGCGCTGCAATCTTCCAGAAGGATAATGCACATCACCAAGACAATAAAAGCTGAACTGGGCCTTTAAAGTTGCACTAAGCCTTAACTGTGAAAAGACATCTGGGAAAATTAAATGCACATTTATCTATAGGTTATCTGCACTAACGTGATCATCTGTGCTGTTTAAAACTTTTCAGCTGTGTCAGTGGAATTTCATTATAAGAAGCTTGTCATATTTTGCACAGAAAATTTTGTTTTGTGTATTTGTGCATTTGCCTGTGCCATGAAAACTATTACAATCATAACTTTTTTTAGTAAATTATACTGTAATTTAAAGCAACATGACTTCAATCATACTGAGATCTTTGCAATTATTAAAAAAAATAATTAACTTGTCCTCATGTTTTTTTGCTTTAGCTGAAAGCACAGGATGTTGAGTGTTTCACTTTGCATATTAAGTTTAATGATGCCAAAAAGTATTATATATTCTTATGAAAAGAAAAAGATGGTTAAAGCAAATTACTAAAAATAGCATGCTTGCATATCAATGCATTACAGCTATTATCTAATTTTTTCTGTAACCCTGTAAATACAGTAAGCAACAACAAAAATCTGCACTTCTGTGTTGTAATCTCACTTTCTTGTCAAACTTATATCTCTTGTATCATTGATCTATTTGGAAACCAAATATATAAAGTCTGTTTGTAATGGGAAATAGTGAACAAAGTATTGACTGTCGAGTGTTGGCAGTGCCCATCCTTGTGTAGAGTTCAGATCCAAGACTAATCTAGCGCACTAAGCTTTAATCCCCAAACGTTGCATAATCAGCCAACTATGAAACGCTCTGTTAGATGAGCTATGCTGGGGAAGAGAAAACACTAAACTGTGTATTTCCCTCTAGCAATGGATCTGAAGGGCACTAGACTACTCTATGTGGTGGGACTTTCAGTGTAAATATTTCCATCCTCCATTCATCTGGGCATGGCAAACAAGCAAAAAAGATTTTAAAACATATTCAAAGCCTACATTATTGTCTTATGCCACATATATCTACCTGATTATGCTACATATATCTACCTGATCAAATCCCTTTCCGAACAGAGACGAGACTGGTTATAAAAAATACCACTTGGTGAGGATAATATTTTAATATTATGGAATTCAGTACCGATTGGAAGGCATACGCCATTAGAAGAACATGGAAAAGGTTTTTTGACAGAGGTGTCCACCAATTAATCAGCTCCTTAGACACTCGGCTCTTCTAATCAGATGTATCTGATGACTTTGCTTAGCTATTTCAGATGAGCAAGACGTGAGTAAATAATGCAGGAAGGTGACAAGCTCTCGACAAGCAGTGCTGGGCAACAGAGCAGCAACCCTAACCCTAACCAGTCCCCGCCCTGAGATTTACTGCAGAGTTTAGAAGACCTCGAGCCGCTTGAATGCGTGTTAGACCTAAGCTCTGTATGAACGTAAATGTCCAGGAGGAGTGTAAATTATGTGACAGCAGAGGTCAAACATGTGATAGCTAGTAAGGCTGTAAGTAGTGATCGTAGCGTAGCATTAGCTAATATTACACTGTGCAGAAAAAGACGAGTCGGTCTTCAAACTCGGGAATCAGACCGATTCCAGCAAAAAGATTAGAAACAGAAACAACGTTACTAACTTGGTGTCCAAATATTACAGCACAATCTGCGAAATATTAGACTTCAAACTCCTTTATAAAAGCTAACTTTACTTCACTTCCAGAAAACAAAACTTGGCGGCCCACCCTAAACGTCCAGAGCAGGAAGTAAGTTGTTAGCTCGCTAGCTGGCTAGCCAGCTGAACAGCACAAACTGACTCAACTGTTTAGCTTCTGAAATAAAAGAGGAAAACAGTAACGGAATTCTCTTACCAGAAGATAAAAGATATTAATCCTCGCTACTGAAGTCGGCTTACTCTTTAACTTCTAGTTACCTTAACATTACTTAATTTCACTGCTCATTATTTTCTAAACCGAGAAAAATGTCTTCATCTGCCGTCACCAGAGCCATCGGGCAGCGACCTCAGGGGCCCGGATTTACTAACTTTTCATTGGACAGCGCGAGAGGATCCTGAGACACGATTGGTCGACTCGGCTGTCAATCGCGTACAAAAGGGGTGGATCTGGAAATGTGTCCGTGAACTCCACCCGGACTGGGTGAAAACATCTGTTCCCCGTCTGAAGAGGGAGTTCCGGGCATTCCTGACCTTCGGGCTTGCTCGAACACATCCGAAATATGGCGAAATGCTTCGCCTGAGCTGTACAGAACTACAGTTAAAGGCTTAAGGAGCACAAACATGGCAGCACTGTGATCTTCATTTGTTATATTTTAAACAAACAAATAAATAAATAAACGAGAAGGAAAATCGTTCAACTCCTTCATTCACACGTCAACTGCCAGAATTGTTTTGAAGTCTCAATACGAAGTTAAAAACACTGAGAAGGGTCTACTCAGTCAGACCCAGTCCCAGTGATCTGTACCTAACATTGAAATGGGCGATGTGAAAAGAATGTGAAATGCCTTTAGTGATTATCAGATTGAGCCTGACTACTGCATTTCCTCTACAGAGTGACTTTGTACAGGACTATCACTCACAGCTATCTGGCAGAGAGGTTTTTTTTTTGCGTAAACAGTCAGAATGTGCATCTGATGGAGTTTGTATGAGAAACTTGAAAATGTTCATAACATTGTTTAAGCAGCTGAAAGGCACTACTTTCACTATTCTGTGATTCCTATCTTTTTACTGAAATCTCTTTATATTTTTTATATTTTTATAAATGAAAAAAACGTAAACAAAACTATTTTGTACTTGTCTCATTTATAATATTTTCTCTATAGCTGACAGGCTTAAATACCTTCTTACCCACTTTTCAGAACTTTCATCCCAGTCATAGTAAGTAAAGTCCCAGAGAACACAGAGTAAATTATGAAAAATGTTTGTTTGATACTAAACTTGAATGTTAAACATGCAGTAAAGAATGAAAAAAAAAGATATAAATAAGACAAACACAGCTTAAAAATGCTGATCAGACCTATCTAAGAACTGTGTGGGTGTGGCTAATAAGCAGCTTGATTGACATAGAATTGAAATTATTATCCAGCTTTTGTGTGATGTTAACTCGGCAATAAAAGTCATGAAGAACAGACGTACGAAGCAACATATCAGTGAAGGAAGGGATGAACGAACAATATTCCTAACAGATAAATGAATGAATGGGAGACAGGCAGCTACAGACAGGTGGTCTAGCTCTCTAGCTTTTGGTTATGCTGGGTTAGCTTTAGCTCCATAAGTTTCTCTGACTCTGAAACTGTTTTGTGTGGGACAAGAGATGTCAGCCTAGTGATCGGTCAGGGGAATGCTTACTGAATAATTACCCAAGATTAGGACCGCCCAGTTTACATAGAGAGAAGAGGAATATGATGAAATATATCAGTCATTTATTGGTCATTGGAAAATTATTCAAAGGGTACATGTTTACTGTTTGCCTGCAAGAACATGATCAATCTAATGAGAAAGAAGATTGAGGTTCCCTGGGTCTCTAACACCCAAACCTGACCAACAACCACCACTGGTTCTGTATCAAAATCTTATTCAATTGAAAGGTGAAGCAAAATACATACTGTGGCGACCATCACAGGCCGCCCTGCCGTGGGGAGCTAAGGGGGTTGTGGTCTTGCAAAGTGGCTCACTGAAGGCACCACACTCCCAGTTAAAACAGGATGTTGCTATAGCTGTTGCTGATGTTCTTATCAGTACAGTTGCTGTGCCCTTCAGCCGTAATGTGTATGCCAAAAATCCCATGGTAAATATGATGGGAAACAGCTTTGAACACAGCAGAAATGTGAACCAAAGGCCACAGAAATGAAAGAACTCTGCTATTGACTTAGCTCCATAGGCATGTAGTGTATAACAGGCCTGTGTACTCAACCTTCACCACTAGATGGCACCTCATACCTCTCACAAAGAGCAAACAAAAGGAAGTCTACCTATTTCAATGCCAATGACAAACGTGAAGCTTAAATATTTATCATGCACTTGTGCTCTATTGTGCACTTAAATAATTGCAAAAAAGGAAAAAATATGCTGATCCTATTGGGAAAGTGTGGCCATGATTAAAATTGTATTTTGCAGCTGTATTCTGGTTTGGGTGTAGGTGTGCCCACAAAAGCCACTTCATCACTCCATTTTCAGTAAATCACCTCAGTCTACACTACAGGAGGATTTTCTTCAGTTAGCAGGGAACTGCAGTTTAATTATCTAAAATGAACTATCAGTTAATCCAGTCATCCAGTTTTAACCATAATCAGACAAATTCAAAACTTAACATGCTACAGTCCCCAAAGCAGGTAAATAGAAACACTAACGACTCCAAGCTGGAACGTACACTTTGTAATCTATTTGCAGAGGTCTGCTTACATGCACAATCTCACCTTGCTCAGAGTGAATTCGTAAAGGACATCCATTCGCAGCGGAATACGCCTTTGAGTAAATATTCAGGTGAGCTAACAGAGGTGGTCAAGGTAATAAACACATTCTGTGTAACCTTAGACCTTTGTTATCATCACTTCCACAGTTTGCAATTATAAACAGTGCTTTGTCTGAGACTTTTATTAGACAGGAACCTTTACCTCATTTTAACCATGCAGACATTTAAAAGACATTTCCTTTGATTGTATTGGTTACAAATGTTGCCTGTTTGCTTTGCTTTGCATGCACAGTCTGTAAGGTCATACATCAAATGAGTATATATATGAGTATATATATATATATATATATATATATATATATATATATATATATATATATATATATATATATGTATGTATATATGTGTACACACCTTTTGCCCTTTACATTGTGTGTAAATTTCATGTTGAATGGACTAAAAGAAATGGCCCAAAATTACCCCAAATTACTTGGAAAAGTAAAGTATGTTTTTTTCCTTCTCCTGTAAAGTTACCATTTTGGAGATACAAGGTTTTCTTTCAACAATTTGATATATATATATATATATATCAAAACCAGACATAAATTTTCTGGATGCCAGGAATCGACAGGCCTAGCAGGCCCTGATGGTTCCCCACTGGAGCTTGCCGAGTGTTCAAAAAAGAAATGTGTTTATCTTTATGATTCATCAGACTTTTACAAGAAAAAAAACTAAGTAACTTGTTAACTGCAAAAATACTATAATTACCCTGGAATCCTGGCTTGTTGTCTACATTGGGTAAATGTCTGTGTAGTTTTGAGTTGTTCTGGGAGAACATAATTTGAAAGCTACCTACATAGAGACATAACACATGCATAAGCATTGAATAACATATTTATAAAGCAATACTTGAGTATTTATGAACAGCTCATGTCAGAAATTGCAAGATGACATCAGATGTGTTGTGACATAAATGACATAACTATATTAATGCCATAAATGTATTGACTTTTGGAGCCTTAAACTAAAGTGACAGACAAGTAATGGAACTTACAAGGCAGAGGCCTAGCTAAGAGCACCACACATCAGTTCTGTGGAATGTTCTATGGAAGACCTCAATCTTAATTGATAATTTTCATGCACAGTTTCTCACATATGCATGAATATAACATATACAAAAATCCTGTACTTGAGTAAAAGTAGAAGTTCCCTGTCTGTTTTTAAGTATTAAAAGTATATTGGGTTTATTAATTCGATGACCTATTTTTATTAAGGAGTCTGTGTGGCTGCAAACATAAAAAACTGAGTTGTTCATATCTGCAACCACACAGGTCTCTTTAACACGTCATGTTTGTGCTTTAACACAAGTGGAAATATAGAACACTGATACATGGTGTTCTTAACTAGGTCTCTTCCTTTTTAAGTTCCATTGTTTGGGAATGTTCCTTTGTTACAGTGTTAAATAGAACAATTGTCCATCGCTTTAGTTTAAAGGCTCTTATGTCAATACAATGTCATTCATTTTATAAAACATCTTATGTTTTTTTGCGATTAACTATGTAAGTTGTTCACAAATAGCCAAGTATTCCTTTATAGCAATTTTATTCAATGCTTATACATGTGTTATTAAGTCCTATATAGGTAACCTACATAAAAAGTGTTACTGTTGTTTTTCTTTTCACTTATCATCATCAGATTCACTCACTCGTGGGGGTGTGAAGCACAACTGACAATACACAATGTTCTTCTGCATGTTGCGTGCAATTACATGTCTCCACAAGAGAGGTCTCCAAATCCCCGAATGTTACATAGTGCTGTCTTCAGGAATTTTATACTAGCCACAGTACGGACCTGTGACCCCTCACTCTGTCAACACTCAAATTAGTGGTTGTGATATGCAAAATGAAATCAAATATACAATGTCCAATAAGAACAAAAGGTCAAAAAGGTCACCTGATGTTTTATCAGCATATGCTTTTGGAATGGTTTCATGCCGCATAGTCACACGAGTTTAGGTCTTTTATCTCAGAGGCTGATTCGAGTGGCTCCTGATGAGGAGTGATGAGTCTGGGGGATTTTGCAGTCCATTATCAGAGATTAGAGCTGCTCACTCGTCCTGACCCAGCTGAGTGTGTATGAGCTGTGTGTGTCAGGAAGTTCATGTCTCAGTACTGTGTGTCCGTGGCCGTAAGCTGAGTGAATGAGACGGAACCCTGAGCTGTGGAGTGCACTCAGTATGCTGTACCAGAATCGCACTACATCCACTTCAGCCCCACCCACTTCAAACCCTGCCCACTGCAGGTGTACGGTCACAATGAGCTGATTGATCTTTCTAATAGTTCCATCCTCAACCCAACTCTCCAGCACACGCCACTCTGCACTCTCCAGATTTGCTCGCAGAACATCCACCTATACATAAAAAAACAGACAAGGTAGACATTTGTAATAGACCAGACCAGACAGATGGAGAAGGATTGCATTTGAAATACAAAATACTGGTAAAAATAAATCCGCCATGCACTATAGAAGTAGACATTAACTGGATGTAAGAGTCACTGGAAAAAATAATACTTGTATACAATGTATTAAGCCAGTTTTCAAGCAGCTTCCACTCAACAAAAAAATAAGGCTAATTATATTCATAAAGATTACGGAGCATACAGTAAGTATAAACTTGGGTTCCCATAGACTGAAATACATCCACTAATTTGCCCTTTAACACTCCTGGACCCACTGGCAGGTTCAGACAATAATAACTCAACTATTTTGCATTGTTTTCCATTGAGTTACTGAAAAATAAGCCTGCGAAAGTCAGAGGCCATCCTTCATTCATTAATTTCCAGTCAAAATAGACCCTAAGTACAAGTTACTTATTTTTCAGGAGACATTTCTGACAAGATTAGATATAACATATGCATAAGGCATAAGGGAAGGATAAACAAGTGAAATCTGGAGTTTAAAGAAGTATTAACAGACACAGAGAAAATTACTAACAACCATGCAAGACCTGGTAGACCACCAAAACTGTCACCATCAGACAAACAGTATCTAAAATTTCATTTTTGAGAGAGGGGAAAAAGTCAAGCTCCACTCATCAGATCTGAAAAACCTGATCTGATAAAAAGTGTTTCTGTCCATCCTTCCACTGTGAAAAGACAACTCGATGTTATGAGTCTGAAAGAATGTATAGCTGTCAAAAAGCCAATGCTGAGAAAAGGAAATAGACAAAAAGTTTGCAAATCAAACAAAGAAGCTCCAAATAATGGAATGACCACTCAAGAGTCCAACAAACATCTAAGACTGAACTTTGGAGATGTAGAAAATATCCCTGCAGATTTCTTTGAAAAACCTTAAGTCTCCTGAAAAGAATGGAAGCTGTTATAAAGGCAAAGGGCAAACACACTACATATAAGATTTTGGCATTTCACTGTTGAAGCTTCTTTGTAATTTTATGTTAAATATATGTTTTCTGCTCTTTTCCTCTCATGCTGAAAAATCTATAACGTATACTTAACTGTTTTCACTGGAAATTATATAAATGAAAGGGTGGTCTCTGACTTTTGCACAGTACTGTACATGCTAAAAGATTGCATTTGAAATACTGAATGCTGACAAATGTAATCCGTCATTTAATACAAAAATAATGAGAGAAACCAAATTATTGATACACTGAAAAAATAAAAAGATTGAGTGTAGAATATATTAAGGAAAAAACAGATAATGCGAAGTAACCTTCTACTACACAAATTACATCTAAAATAGTATGAAGTGTAGGTAGAATTTCTGGTTACCATGGACTGAAATAAAGCCAACACACTGTCATTAAACCCTTTAACATTCACAGAGCCACTTAATAATAACAACCCAGTCATTTTGCATTGGTTTCTGTGAGGTTACTGAATAATAAGTCTTAGGATGTAGGTGTACACAATGTTAAAGGACTAAATACTTTAATATAAAGCTTTTAAATGGTAAGTATTCAGCATACATTAACACTGTAAACTGTTTGCTGATATTTGCTGTTTACAAGGGGTGTAAATTTGTGATTTGATCCTGTCACAACTCAAACGATTCAGTCTATCATGACATCTCAAATTTCACCAAAATTCACATTATTTTAATAAGATCAAGAATTACTTTTAAAAATGCATTGAGTACACACAATTCAAAATAGCCTGGGAATTTTACATCAGCTTAAAAAAACCAAGAGCAAACTTTATTGAAGATTAGAGCTGATGTTGTTGGAAAAAAATCTATGTCGTTGAATTGCCACCTTGAGACTAATGGATTACAACGCATCAATGCATTTTTACACCTCTTCTGAATACAGTTTTAAACAGGTAGTCAATAAATGTAACATAACACTTTTTGTAAGCAAAATGGCCAAACTTGCAATCAATATACACTGAAGGCAATAAGAGAAAGAAGATGTACATGCAAAGCAAGCAAAAAGACAGTCAGAGAGAATGTGAAATGAGGCATTCTCAACTAAGGAACCCATGTGCTCCCCATGGAGAAAGTGTAGTCTCTATTTAATGATCAAAGATTAACAACAACATACACATGTTCCCTGTGGACATCACATCTCTATATGAGTCACCAGACAGTGTTGCCATGGTAGCCACGCATGACCACAGACACTATCTCCATGGTGATAAAGCATCAGACAGGGGATTCTGGGCTGCTATCAGAATGAAAATGAGAAGGCAGATGTGTGTCAGTACCGTTCTGTGACCCAGAGAGTCCATGATGTCCACCAGTCTGCGAGGCACAGAACCCAACCCCCCTCTGTGAGGGTGACCGCGGGGGCGTCTCCAATCCAGCCACGCCTGATGATGCTGGATGGATCCTAATCCAGAACCACTAGACTGCCTGAGCCGTCTGCTGGGGTCAAAGCGATGCACCTCACATCCTATGCTTAACGTGGAGTCTAGAAACACTGCATCCTTTCCGTCCAGACTGCAGGGGGATCAAGAGAAAGAGAGAACAGTTAATAAAATCATTTCTGGGACCTGTAGTACAATGCACTTAACCACCATATATACTTTAGTGTATTTCATTCTTTAAGTATTTTTAAAAGTCAATACTTTTACTGGAATACATTCTGAAACAAACACTTTCACTTCATTATTTTTTCAATAAACAGCTATGGTTGCTTTTACAGTTGTGTATACAAAAGTTTGGGTGCCCCTGGTCAAATGACAGGGACAAATGACAGAGAACAAACTTCTGCACATTTTAATGCACAATTACTGTTTATTCACTGCCTGTGCAGACGTCATGACACATTTTAAATTACTTGGAAAAAAAATCTCTTTTCTTACGAAAAAAAACAATACATGTTTTTTTTGGATAGTGATGATTTGTTTTTTTTTCCCAGTAAGTTAAACTCACCATGTACAAAATTGTGCATTAAAATGTTAAGTCAACTCCGGTCCTGGCAGTTCCTGTCTAGCAGTTTGGTGATTTACCCACTCAAACACACCTTTTTACGCTTGCCTGTTAACTGGCAGGTTTAGTGGGTGTGTTTGAGTAGGGAAACTTTACTGGACACCAGCCCTCTAAGACCAGAGTTGTGCACCCCTGCTTTAGAGGATGGGTTAATGTACTTTAAATTAGAAAGTCAATAAAACATGTCATTTGTTTAAACTTTTGCAAATTACTGTAATTACGTGCTAACACTATATAAAAATAATCAGCACAACCTGATTGAGTTTATCCGATCATAGAGTTATTTCAAAACATAAATAACCACAAACACATAGCTGGCCAGAAATCTCTCAAAGGAACATTTAAATTTTTTCAAGCAGATTCTCTCTGACGTAAAAGTACTTTCTCTTATGTCTGTTTTCTCATCTAAAATAGTTAGAGATAAAAAAGAAAGGCAAGGTCTCAATTCTGCCTACCAACAAATGTTGAAATAAACCTTCACAAACTGCAGCGAAACTGCTTGCAGTATTTCATCAGAAACAACAGGAAATCCCCAACCCCGTTCTTCTCAGGGAATGTAAATAACACAGCCCTTCCCGTCTGCTTAACAAATAAACACTCCCCTAGTAAATAGCCAGCTCTCTCTGAAACACACCTCTGCTACAGACTAACTCTACTGTCAGCACATGCCAAATGTTTCAAAGCATTTCTTGTTATAAGCTGTGTTACTAAGTATGATTTAATGAAGAGTGAAGAGAAATCAAGCAATAATGAGCAAGCTTATATTTGCATCCAGAAAAATTGTAAATAGTTTTTAAAACACAGATTCACTGTAAAACTGGCCTTCTCAAATATCGCATACAGAATTAAAGTTTAAAACATCATGTCATTAAAGCATTATGTATATCAGTCAATAAGCCAATAACTTCATTATTACTTTTAGTGCAAGGAACTTAGACTTATACAAAAGTCTGGAAACTCCAAAGGTAAGTGTAGTCATTAAAATTGGATGGTGACATTTTTTGTTATCTTGGCTCTGCAACAACCACACTGGATTTTAAATGAAATAACAAGTAAAAGTGCTGACTGTCATTTTGTCCAAATTAAGGTGAACTGTGAAAGAATTTTGACCCATTTTACCCATTCATCTCCTATTTTAGCAAACAAATGTCACACAAGAGGCATCGAATGTACGCATTTGTGTCATTTTTCAGTTTTTAGCTGTTGTCCATCAGCATGATACCCCAAAATGTGTTGGTAAAGCAGATTGCTGTAAGTTGGAAAGTCAGGATAAATCTAACAGGAAAAGTGCCAAAATTTTGGAATTCATGTCAAATTGAAACAAACAACCTGGCAAATTACAGAAGAGCACAATAGTGAATGACCAAGGAATAAGAGGGCTGCACATTCAGCACACAGGCTATGTTCACATTACAAGCTTCACTGCTTAAATCCGATCTCTCTGACACAATGGTTCACACTCGTTTAGGTAAGTGATTCAAATCTGTCATTAATGTGAATGCACTGGTGTCCTGAAATGACCCACATGTGCACATCCTACTCAGTAACGTCACATAAATGAATTATGTGCGTCACGTGCATCATCAGCAAACAAACTAAGCGCAGATCGAATCTCTGCGAAGAGATTAACTCTGAACAGCTCTCAGCTGTTCATTATTAGAGCGAGACAAAGGCGACAAAGGTGAGATGTGTTGCTTCTCCACCATTTACAGGCTTTAACTTCTGTTCGGGCTGCTGTCATGGTAACGCTGAATGATGGCGCATGCATGGTGGAAAAAAAGCACATAAATTCTGATCTGAGCGATCACATTAAGTTTGCATGGCCACGAATCGCATACGTATCCGATCTAGGATCACTTATGAAAGTGGCTTAGGTCGGATTTGAAAAGATCAGATTTGCATGTCCACACAGCCCTGAAAACATCAGATCTGAGTTACATTAGGGCAAAAAATCGGATTTGTGCCTATTCAACCTGGTAATGTGAACGTAGCCAAAAATCACAACTGTATATTAATTCTCTTAATAGTGTAATTGCAATCATTCATTTAGATTAATAAAATGAAATACCTATTCACATTACTTTACTGGTAAAACTTGTCAGGGGAACTGCCTTACCCATCTTTACTGATGATTTGACTGCTGACAGCTGCAGAAGGATGAATTGTGAAGTGTATAGCTCAATGAAGTGTAAATGCTTAGATACAACCAGATGCCTCAAAACCTAGTTAACAATGTTTCATGTGCTTCACCTTACAGCAGAAAAGCAACCCAAAAACATACTTCTTAAGTGACTATGAAGTTTTCCAGGGCCAAATAGTGAAATGTTTTTAATTGGTCAAGTTTATCACTTGGCATTACTTCCTGAAGAGATGGTTGAAGGCAAAAGAACCTCAAAACAAGAAGGAACTGAAAATGGCAGCAGCATTACGCTCTGTAATGCGGCCCTTTCCTGTTCTTGCTTGTTTTACAAATTTCAGGCAGTTATTAATTGCAAATGATTTGCAATTAAGTACAAAACATAACAATTTTACTCATATTTCAGATTATATCCATTTGTCCAATTACATTTACTTACAGTCCCCTAAACTTTTCATTCAATAAAATGGACAAAGGTCAGCAGATTTTGACTTTTTAACCTGAAATGCAGTTCATAAACTAAACTGAAGCATTTCAGAGCAATTTACTCTGCTTTTGCTGAATGGACTTTTCTTTGAATCAAAATAAATTTAAATAAAAATTTAATTTACTGAAATGTCTTTTCATTATTTTTTACTTTTTATGTAAAGTTACTTAGTTGCTTAAACACACCACAATTTATGTATTTACAAGTTCATATTTTTGTAAGCCAAACAACCATCCTGGTTAATTTTTTTCAGTGTATGCAGAGGACAATGATTCCTAATTAGTTAACCCCATACAAATGTAAATAATCTCAAATTAAAGCTAAATAAACCAGGCCTTTTTCATTCTTGACCCATGGACCCAATACCTTGAACAGTTCCATGTATTTCCTGCTGTGATACATCAACATCAACCATTTGAAAGGCAGCAAAATGGTTGGAAGACCTATCATCACATCCCGATTTCACAACACTTAATTTCATTCAAGTCAGTACAAGTATATATAAGGGTCTTTTTACTCTATTTTATGCAAAGCATAACTGTGGACAAGCTACAGTCCATTGCTGATGTACTGTAAGCTGACAGATAGCTCTGCTTTTCAAACTCAGAACAAATCAAATCTGCATCTAAATCCATGTTTGTCTCTTATTTCCTCAGATCTCTAATAGAGGTGTGCCTAAGAAAAAAACTGAAATGTACCTACTATTAACTAAAACCTCAGAATACATCAATGTATTTACCTGAAGGAGTAAGCCACACAAGTATTGGCCCTTGTCCAGTAGTTTATACACAGAGTCGCTGAACCTTCCTCCACAGGTCGAGACCCATCTGAACCCAGCCATCTGGAACAGTTCACCTGAAAAACACAAGGCACAAGGAGCTACTGTAATGTGTCTATGTGTATATATCCATTCATGTACAGATGGTTGACAACTTAAATGAAAATCCTACATGAAGTGTCTATGAAAGGTGCTGGACCACCAGAACAGCTTCAGTACACCCTAGACATGAATTCTACCAGTCTCTGGAACTGTACTGGAAATATGGAACACCATGCTTCCAAAAGATATTCCCTCAAATGGAGTTTTGATGATAATGGTGAAGAGCTTTATCTAACAGTCCAAAATCTCTTATTGGTGCTCAACTAGCTTGAGATATGATAACTGTGAATGCCATTTATATCACTGTGAAAGTGATTTATGCAGTTTTCATATGCATCAAATCAGTCAGTGAATAGAAATGTTTCATCACAGTATAGAGGTGATTAGTCAGAGTAGCATTCTATTGATTTGCAATGACTCATCCCAAACTATGCCAACAAAATGTCCCCCACAGCACAATATAGCCACGGGACCCCCTCACTGTAGGGGTTAAATATTCAGGCCTATCCCAGCACTCATTGGCTGGAAGGCAAGAAATCCCCTGGACCGGTTGCCAGTCCGTCACAGGGCAATTAAGTATTCTTTTGAGGTCAATGATCTCAAATAATATGTTAACAGAATGTAAACACACAAATTATTGTTCTGTTAACCTAAGATTAGAAGTTAAGTGAACTCAAAATTTCAAGCTAACCAGGTTACTCACTTCAAGTTAAAAATTGCATCATTTTGGAAGCATCTGCACTCATTATGTTTCTGTACTCATTTATTCATACTTCTCTTTTCATTTGTCATACATCTATATGTGTCAGTGTGTCTGAAAGACTGTATACCTCTGGTGTAGTGATGAACTGGGTAAGACGTTGCACTTCAGCACTGAAGGAGGGTTGTCCTGATGCCCACGGCTGAAGCACTAACTCTCTATCAGTGACCTGCAGAAACACATCCACCAGCTAGGGCTTTATGATATGGAAAAAATACCAGATTGCGCTTGCAATATGCCTTGCAATATTAAAAACCTACCAGTGAACCCTTGACGTGATATGTTTAACGAATGGCCTGCATCACTTTGCATCACACCTGTAAAACTGTTTATGATGGATCATATAAATGGCTTTTTTCATCAAAACAGCTACAGAAATACAGAAACAGTCATCTAGAACACCTGAGACTGCTCAGAATGCTCGCAGCACATATCCAAACATGGGTGATGGCTCATTTAGAGGGCTCATTTGTATCCCTCCGGAGTATAAATAGTGCAAAATTACAATTAACTATTAACAAACAACTTTGTGCAGCTATACCACAGGCCTTTTTTGGATCACTGCTTAGGGTGTGTGTCTAAGTAAAATGCCTCTGGCAGGATTTGGCCTAGTTGCAGCATGTTTCAGTGTTACAGAATGTGCTCTTTGTGATGGCCAAGCCTGAGAACTTGATAAGATCTGGCCCAAATGTGTGTATCTATAATTTAAGAGAACCATTAAAGAATTAAACATCAGAAAATGCATAGGTTCTATGTCAAAATACACAAAAAAAATCTAATGTAGTAACCATGGAGACGCAATGGAAGAAAAGATGAGTCACAGAGACTCTGAGTCATGGAGGGAGACAGAGTACCAATTTGTTTAATTTATCTAGGAAGGATTCCCCTTTTAGTGTAACCCAATTTGATCTAACCTATCTTACGCAAAGGGTGAAGCATATTCAGCTTCACCTAAAAAATTTACTGTTCTTTATTACCACAATTACTTGTGCTTTCTGATCACAACCGTCAGGATATTTTTCTCAGTACAGCTAAGATTAATGGCATGGTAAATTTTCTTGAACAGCTCCACAGTTAAAGCTGTGGTTACCTGGTGTGAACTCAGTTCATTCTCCTCCTCGTAGGCGCCCACGCCTGCAGATTCGTCCTCAGCCCACAGAGCTGCTGGTCCGTTCTCCAAGCCCCGCACCACACGCCCAGCGGTGCTAACTGCTGGTGGCCGCGGTGACTCACCGGGGCGCGCAGCCCCCTTTATATTGATGACTGTGAAAACGGGCTGCTCAGCAAGTCCGGTCGAAGTGCGCGGCACGATCACACTGACCAGAAGTTGGAGAAGCAGTAACAGCGACAGAGCGAGCATGAAGGCCCTGGGGAGAAGGCGCCTCAGTCCGCCACTACTACAGGCCGCCATGCCTCCCCTGTGGAGCCTTTACATAGCTCCACGGCCCTGTGAGGAGAGGCTCAGCTGGACATTCGCTCTGTGCTAGCCTAGCGGTATGTGCATTCTTACCGACCCCCTCTTTATACGCACACACACAAACAAAGGGGTGTGACCCCATGAGACAGCCACTAAAAAACTAACATGGGAGAAGATAGACCAACTACAGCAGAATGCATTTTCAACAGCTGGCTTCTGCAGCTAAATAACGAATAGAGAACATCAATTACCATAAACATGGAAATATATGTCTGGTATTTATTTACTTACATACAGTATTAGGGGGCTTAATATCAGTGATAAAGTCGTTAATCTTAAGAGTTTAGTGTAGGGCTTGGCTCAATTCAAACCACCCGTTTATAAAAACACTCAGAACAAAGTCATTTAACATTATCTCTCTGTAAAAAAGATATGATGTGATATAAACACATGAATCTTCGGTTTAAGTTTCTGACAGGAATTTAAATTCAAACAGAATCCAGCCCTGGTTCTGCGCGTGCGCACTGCGCGGCCAACGAACATGTACGTCAGACTCTCTCCAGCGTGTCCTGAAGTTTCACAGCGACGCGGGGCTGAGTCAGAGTCAGAGTCAGAGTCAGTGCCGGTCTAGCGTTTGTAGACACGTCACTGGCGAATATTGGAAAACGACTAGATGTAAATCAATTCAATTTCAGCGGCGTTCACAGAGGGTGAGAGCAGCTGCTGCAGTTCTCTCTCTTACCGCCCCTGCCCTCCCTCACTCCCTCCCTCACTCACTCATTCCTCTTTCGCCCTCGCTCGTGTCCTCGTTTGAACCGTGCGCGCTGATCACAATGTCTGACGCTACAAAGCCTCGCCTCGTTCCAAATGCCTGCGCGAGCGCCGCTGCACGGCTGGAATACCAACGAGGCGCTGGAATCCATCACCGCAAAACACATCAGTAAACACTACCGCCGAAACAGATGCTGCAGCAAAGTCGGCTGTTCCAAAGACGCTGCTCAGACACACAAGCTAATTGGACGCACTCATGTGCTCATGTTTTGAAAAGCTGGTCTTTCAAGCCAGCCTTTCACATTATCAATGTACACGCTCGCTATTTTATTTATTTGTTTTTTTATATATTTAGGCGGGTGGGGGATCATTCTAGAGAAATGCAACCATTCAACTTCCTGTAAAAGTTTACGTGCACGTGCCATGTTTGAACAAGGCAAGATATGCCATTTATAGTTTTCTTTATATACTAGGGGAAAGGCGCGTGGCGCCACTCACTGGCCAAAACAAAGCGAGTTGTAGACAGATAGGACTGGTTTCCGTGTGAATCTAAATGGACTAATTCAAATTACCACAAAGGAAGGTAGTTCTGTTTTGTATAATCTAGAAAAGTAGACTACCGTTCATAGGCAGTCTTAAATTAAACCAGTCTAGCATAAGAAAAGATTTCACAGAAGCAACAGCTTGAATATGTTAAATATGTTGATCAGAGGTGGTGTTAACTGTAGATTAGTGGAGGGAATAGTGATCAAGATTTGAAATGGCTGTTTGATGCTACGTTATTCAGTGGTATTTTCACAGTCGTTTAATGTTGATGAATTATTGAATTAACCTTAAAAACACAAAGTTGATCTTGACCATACCTGTTTTACCTTTGACCATTCTGGGAGATGCAAGTTTTCATGTCCTTGTTTCAACCATTGCTGTTGTTTTCTTAAAGTGGGAGAGTTGTTCTCACAGGACCAAAATTGCTGTAGCCTAAAGGGCAATTATGAACCCAAAAGAGCACCTGATGCAGTTAGAATATGGTTTAAAAATTAAAATTGTGTATGCTACTTTATTTCTCGTCTCTCTGTTGCTTGCCTTTTTCTTATCTGCAGTGTTCTTCCAGTCACTCTCCATTATCCCACAGAGCAGAGGCAGGACAGAGTTAAGCAATGATAAGAACAGAATGTGTATTTAAATATTCCCACCTTAGATACAGTATATGGAACAGACAGATACAGTATTTCATCACAAAAAATCACTGTACGACACAGCGGACCACAAGAAATAGGAACAGTGGAGAGAGAAAAAAAGGAGAAGGAGGAGGATGAGTAGGAGAATAGGCATTGTCCACACCCTGAGTTCCAGACCTCTGTGCCCAGAATGGCCAGAGGACTGGCCTCTCAGCACCTTTGCCAGAGCAGCATCTTTGGGTTCAGTGCATGAGTGTCTGTCCTCCTGACAGAAAATGATGAAAACACAGAGACAAGAACTGGGTTTGGGCAGGGTGTGACCATGCTGCAGGCCGAGCAGAAGAGCGGGGGAAGAGGGCATTCAATTCAGACAGACCCCCACCGGACCAGACAAGGCCTCTGGTTAAAAAGACTGCAGTGACTATTTGCACATTGCCAAGCTGCACCATTTGAAGCCACTCAAAAACTGACATCACCTCTCCTAACAGAAATTCTAGAACATTTTCATGGCATTTCTGTAATGGGTTTATACAACTTTCCTCGCTTCTATAACTGTTTAAGCTTCACTTATGTTCTCATTGTACTTTGCTCCTCTGGTGTTGGGTCCGTCGGTGTGACTTATGTACAGATGCTGGTATCTTGGAGCAGATAGCACATAAGGTAAGATAAGGGGTAAGGTCTGAGTAGGTAGCAGGGGCACCCTACAAAGGTGGCTGATTTTTTTGGGGAGTATGCAATTAATCTCTTCTGTGATATGATTGGAGAAGATGCCGAGACTAGAAGAAACAGATAGACACAGAAAGAGAATCAGAGTAGAGGGAAAACGGGAAAGAGAGAGATCAGTGTGTAGTCCTAAACCTGTGTGGTCTCTCATATCGGTTTGACAGACAGTTGCAGGCATGTCTGAGTTTCAGCTTTAATGAGTCATACTTGCATTCTGAGGATTCCTGCATTTCTGCAGTTAGTTCTTCTATCAGGTATTAGCGATGTGCCCGTCCATCCTTAAAAAACTCCACCCAAGGTCCACAACTGGTCTTGTGCGCGAGAGAGTGTCTATCTGTGCGTCAGTGTGCGGTTTCAGACGTTTGTAAGTGTTCCTGTGTGTGTGTGTGTGTGTGAGTGAGTGTGTGTGTAAACAGGTCACAATTGTGTGAGTGTAGAGCATGCATGCATGTGCGTGTGTGTGTGTGGTGTGTGAATTTGGATCTTGATTGTCACTGCTGGAGAAGTCAGCTTTTAGTCCACAGTTCCAAATCTCCTCTGTCTTACTTAGTAAGTGTCTTCTGTAGCATCTCATTTACAAAATATTAAAAATATGAAAAGGGCGTAGTCCAAATCATCTGTTGAAACAAAAGAGACAATGTATGAGCAAAATGAAGAGAGAAATTGATTATTTATAATAATTATGACACAGAGATAACTATGCCTAACTATAACTATGGTTTTTATGTGCACAATAGGCCTTCATTCTCCAATATCTTCCTAGGTTTTTTCTTAAATGTGTTCTTGAGAAAGGTCCTAAGAACATGTCTATGTAAGATTCATGACGTGTTCTTAAAGCGCAGAATTATTAGCGCCTTTGTGCTCGAGTTTGTGTAGATTCTGTTCTTACCAAAGAAGAAACCCCAAATAAGAAAACATTGGTGAATGTCAGAATTTTTGTAAAAACTATTCGTTTTTAAAAGGGGTTTTAAGAACACATTTCTCCTTAAGAACAGTTGGTGAATAAGGCCCAATGTTCAGAAATGTTTGTTTGCACTCTCAGAAAAAAATATATCTTTCAAGGTATATCTTTTTGAGGTTGACCTCAAGGGTGCGTCTTCATGTTTAGGGAACATAATTGTATGATATTTCACTGCATTTTACTTTTTTAATTTGTATTGACTTCATACATCCTGTCTTGACTCCAGGCTTTTTATTTTATTTTTCAGTTTTAATTCAGTTATAAAAAGATGGTCAATGAAATATGCACATTTCTCTTGAAAGAGTTAATGTAGTGTTTCTTTAAAACTCAGGTACACAGTGGGACCTTAAGGACAATGCTTGTACCTTGGAAGACTAAAATTTACCTGCAAAATACCCTTTTTTCCTGACAACACAGATCCTCTTTCTGAGTAAAATGAAATGGTAGATAGAGATGTAACATTATTGTACTTGATTGAGTTTGTCTTAAGCATGTTTGAGAATTCATTTCTCACCTTTGTTGGTTGCTGCAACAGTGCTAACTACAGGCTGGTGACAGTGAAGCCTTCATCACTGGATTGGTCCAGTAGCTGGCAGAGAACCCCACCTCGGGCACTTTGGGACACATAACGATGCCCAAGGGGTGCATAGTTGTCCATGTTACCATGGTAACCCAGCTCCTCGTGTTGAGGAGATGACTCTAGAGTCCCACTCGCACAAGAAGAGGACATGGTAGGGCCTCTGTGTACAGGTGGGGGATAAGGAGAATGGGATGGCACCCTCATCCCAGGGCCCATTAGTGATGTGTCCCGTTTGTGGGAGGGCATAGCGATGGCAGTGGATCGCTGCTCCTCATAGCTATGGGGACTGTTAGCAACACTCCCACCCTGCCCATACCAGCAAGGGGAGCCACTGTAACTAGGGGAATCATACTGTGGAAACTGTTCCTTTGTGGAAACACGATGTGGACTCATGGCAGAGCCACACTGTGGCAGGAGGCGAGGGCTTGGGGATAGCGTAGGGCTGAATGTCCTGGCAGCATGTCCATATGTCTGTGAGGGAGGGCCTGTTTTAGGATACTGCTTTAAGACATCTGATTGATTTGATAGGCTAGGGGAAAGAGAGGCTGAGTCCGAGGGGTAAATCTGGGCAAATCTCTCATCAGAGGAGGGAGTAGAAGTGTGGGCAGAGTAGGGAGATGGGTATTCACAGGGCTCAGGGGCATGGCTGAGAGGTGATAGACTACTGCTGTCTCCACTGTAATAATCCAGTGTTTCCTGGTATAGTGCCCCTGTTGAAGTCATCTGCCCTGCCACGGCTGTGGCCGCAGGTTTTTGAGGTTTGGCTTTGGCTGGCACAGGACGCTCTCTTTGGCAAGGAGAGAATCCTCCCCTGCCCCTGCTCCCCCTGGGCTGTCGGCCTGCAGAAGCACTACGTTTTGGTCCACCTCCCTGCATAGAAGGACTTGCAGGTGATCCTGGAGGCATAGGGCACGCTTCCCTCTCACTCTGTTGCTCTGACCTTTTCCTGCGACCACGGCCTGATTTAGTCCCACCTTGAAACAAAACATTCTGACTCCAGTTGTATGAAGGGCCTGCAGAATTTTCATTCCAGTCAAGCATCAACTTTTCCAGGCTTGAAAGGCTAGACTGCCCCTCAGGCACTGGAACATCCCTGGAGCAATAAGGCCCCCCAATGTTACCCATTCCTGTGTGGGAGGAGTCAGAGGAGGACTCAGAAAGTGTTTCGGGGCAGGGGCGCTGCTTTGCCTTTTGAGGTGTGTAATTTGATATGTCCAGGATGTCTTTGGACTCTGAGCTGCCAACTCCATACTCAGAGTAGCCATGGAACTGTTGAGTACCAAATCCATCACCACCCCAGATTGATCCCCCTTGCCTGTAGCCCCAGGGAGCAGAGGACTGGTATTGTCTGCAACCCTCAGGAGGAGACGAGGATGAGGAGAAGGGGCTAGTCTTTGATATTGACATGTAACTTCCAGCTGGTGATGCTGGACCAGCAGAATCACTCTGCTGCATTTGTGGTTGAGTAGGTCCGGGATATCCACTATAATGACGCTTGACAGGACTCTGATAACTTGAATAACTAATCTGACGTTGTGTAGAGGGAGCAGGGGAGGCTTTAGTACCATATGTAAAGCTGCAGTCACTTGGCCTGTGCTGTTGCTGAGGCACAGGACAGATGCTTGACCCCTGTGTGACACTTCCACTATAAGGGGAGGGGTATTGGGAAAAACCACCAGAAGAAGGATGGGGAGAACTAGGGGACCGGGAAAGTGAAAGAGCAGGAGATTTTGGGAAGGAAGTGGTGGGAGACGTTTGAGAAACACTGTATGAATATGGGGGCCTAGTTGCAGAGTTGCTCTGAGATTGGGGTGAAGAAAGTTGTGCCCCTTCCCCAGCACAGGCAGCTCCTTTGGGGCTTCTCTTAGGGAAAGCAGGAGACCAGCGCTGGGCTGCACCTGGGCTGCTGCCCTCATATCCTGGAGTCAGTTTACGAGCATCTTGTCGTCCTGTAGGGCTGGACATGGAAATGTCTAGCAAATCTGAGGAGTCATCTGAATCAAGTAAAGAACGAAAGTATCCTGCAAACATTCCCTGAGACTCCTCTCCACTGCCTGCCCCTCTCATTGCCGGGCTGTGATACAAGCCCCCTTTTCCAGTCTCAGAAGATGGAAAGTTTCCACGGGGAGAGCAAGAACCCTGGTAACTGCCTGCTCTTTCAGGAGTGTCTGTGTCACCTTTCTCCCCCCACCCACTATTTCCATTTTGCCAGTCTTGGTCCTGGGCACCCTGACCACCTTTTAATGCCCCATTCTTTCGTGAACGGCGTTTTCGAATCTTTTCCCCAGGCACAGGTGTACCTTGCTCAGTCATAGCTGCCCTACTTATTCCACTACTGACCCCTTTCCCCCTCTTCCGTGGAGCTCCTGGTTCAGACAGGGGTACTTTTCGCTTTTTGCCAATTGTCTCAAAGAAGTCACTAAATGACCTCTTAAAAGCCTCGGAGCACCCAGCTGCAGCCCCTCCCCTCCCTCCCATACAGCCTGCTCGACCCCCTCGTCTGCGGAACCCTGTAAGGCGGTGCAGTAGAGTGGACAGGTTTGGGTTCTCTGGAGGTGTATGAAAGGTTTCAGGCTCAGTTGGAGTCCAGCAACGTGGTGGGGAGCAGCGGCCAGTGCTGGGGGGCTGTCTGTTCAGGAAAGCCAGTTTGGACAGAACATCTGCATATTCTACTTTAACGTCATTGGTGTCATTAACATATGAGGGCAGTGGAGACGGCAGTTTTACTCGCCGTCGCCGCCGTTGTTTCTTGGGCTCTGCGGCATTTGCAGCCCCAGCTCTAGTCTCACGCATGTCAGGCTGCCCTGGTAAGGCCTGTTTAGGGGGCCGTCCTCTACGCCGTTTCAGGATGACAGGTAGCTCTCCTGGGGGAAACATGACCATTACACTCTTTCCATTGTTTTTCATACGGAGAAGAGCAGTGGGTTCCTTTGGAATAGGGGCACATGTCTCACTACTAGACCCCCCTTCTGGACCTTCTACTTTAGTACCCCCTTCCCCACATGTCCCCACCCCCACAGGATCTAGGGAGGAGATCTTGTAGCTTTTCTGCCGACGACTGAGGTGCACAGGGATTCTGGCTATTTTTACCACTATCTTCCTCACACCCAAAAAACGACCTCGTCGTTTACCTCTCATTGAGTGGTGAGTCACAGTGCTGCCTTCATTTCCAAATGGCATACTAATGCTATGATTTGGCACCACACTGGACAATTTAGTTGATACTGGTAAAACTTCAAGAGATGGGGCACCCACAACAACTTCGGGAGAAGCCTCTTCCTTTGGTGTAATCTCATCTCCTCTCCAGATGTTCACATGCTCCTCCTCTTTTTGTTCTTCTTCCCTTTTCACAACATTATCTTCCGTGGCTCTACGCAAACGGGATGACTTGCGAAGGTGGCAAGGGAATCGTGGCCGACCAGAACTCCTCAATGTATACTTCCTCTCAGCCTCTATAGGGGTGGTGATCAGATTGTTGGTTGCACTGGAACTGTGGCATATGTCAGGGTTTGGTAAGTGATCCACCTCTGGTTTACAGGTGGGAGTGGCTTGTTCTGTCTCTGCCTTACATGTAGAAGCAGAGCCATGTTGAAGGGCTGAATACGTTTGTGAGGGTTGGTTCGTTTGCAAAGGATATGTTGAACGGGCAGAGGGGGTGTATTTTTCAGTCTTGTGAGTAATAGACAAGTCCTCTGGAACAAGAGACGTGTCCTGCTCCATGAGTGAAGAGCTGGAATCTATGCATCTGTCCATCTCTGTACGTGTGTGCTTGTGCATTAGCACATCTGTGTCCGTCTGCATGTGGGCATCCAACTGAATGTGTGTGCGAGACTGTAGATGCGTGTTTGAGTGTTCCATTCGAGTGTTCTGCTCGAGTAAGTGTGTTTGCTGGTGTGTGTGCATCTGCGTGTGTTGCTGAATGTGCACTTGTTCATGCGTGTGCATTTGTTCCACATGGTCCATTTGTCTGCGTCTCCTTGCTCGGCGCTGAAACTGGTCATCGTGGTTTCGCAGGCCATTAGCCAGTGAAGGAGGTGAATAAAATCCATAGTGTAGTGAAGTGGCCTGGCCAGAGTCAATAGGCCCTGCTGAAGTGACTCCAGGCCCTACATCTCCCATCCAGGAGCCTTCAGCCTCACTGCAGTCCTCCTCAACCGGTGTTTCACAAGCCAAACGCACACCTCCAGAGCGCAGACGTCCTGACAGTCGGCTCATTACCCCGAAAGTCAATGTCTATACTAGTGTATGTATGTGGTGTCCTCCAATCTGTGTGCCCTAGGGCTACTGTCCCTTAGGCAGCAAATATCTGACAGCCTATGTGGCACAGTGAAGACGCTGACCCAGCCCAATCTTACTTTCAAGGTGTAACTCCTTGCTGGGTGAGCGAGTGAAAAGCTTCCAATAAACAGGGGCTTCACAGATTCACAGAAGTCACTGGAAATTATCAGGAAATGTTGTTCTGTGAAGTGAAACAGAAAATAATATGAACACCTATGTAGTCAATGTAATTACCATCAAAGAGAAACAATTTTAACAGTCTCTATCACAATTTTTGGTGATAGTATAGTTGTTCTTATCATCTCAGGTGCTTCCATGTTTTGTGTTATCCCTGTGGGCGAATGGACAATTGTTACCATGGTGATACAGTTAGAGAACAGCTGTAACCATGGCAATAGAATATGAGTGGAATGGTATCCATGGTTACATAGTTTTCCTATCCAGTGCGATGGCTTGAGTCTGTACCATAGCAATATAGTTTGTATCGCAGAGAGCAGACTACATATAATACAGTTAGTAATATTTTCTCATTTACATATTTTGTAACTTTTCAAACCATATATAGTATACCTCTAGAGACTAACATTTCAACCACACTATACTGTGGAGTGCTACCAAACTATTTCTAATAGTTTTTCTTCAGTCAATGGGTAAAGGCTGCAGACTCAAGCTAAACTATTGTTTAAGACACAAGAATAGCTCACCTGTCTTTTCATAAACCTACACCCTTCAGAACTTCATTTGAATGCGATCATAAAAAAATGAATAAATGAAAGCAAAAACAAAATCAATATAGCATGGTCATTGTAATAAAATGATCACATTTGTGAACAAAATTATTCAGAGATGCTAATTTAATGGGAAAAATGAATGGCTTTCTATGCATAATGAATTATTTATGTTGGACAAAACATACATATAAATCTACACTAATCAGTGTGAAATAAAGAATAATGTGCACTTACTCACTGAGAGCTTCTGTTCTCTTTTGATTACAACAATACAGCATATACTTTAGCGCTTGTTTTAACTGCATTACTTATTAAACGCCACCAAAGTATAGGAAGAAGTAGTATAGGAATATTAAGAAGGTTGCTTATAAGAAAAATCTATGAAAGTAATAATTTTGTGCCGAAAATGTCTACTATACTTGGTACGGATCTTTATACATGACAGCCAGACAGACAGACAGATAGACAGACACATGCGCACACTCACAGGCCTGAACAATGCAGAGGAAAGTTAAATATTGAGGTGTAAACAGTGAGCAGCAGGGGGCAGCAGAGGGATGAGAGGAATGGTGTGAGAAGGTTTGGAGTGTTGCTCCACAGAGAGAAGACTGCATGGAAATGAATGCTTGTATGGATGGAGGGAAAGGTCCAGAGAGTGAGAAGGTCTTGGCGTGCTTTCTCTGTTGCAACAGACTAGTGACAGACAAAAAGGAAGAATGCATCCATATTAACCACAAGCATGCGCAGAAGTGGGAGGCTTTTGGAGAAATATCACAAAGTCAACTAATCACAAACAGACATCTACAGTTGTGAAGTCCATACCCTGGACTCTCTCATACCCTCCCTTTCCTTCTCTTTCCTTCTTGTTCACACACACACACACACACACACACACACACACACACGATTCCATCCATCACTGATGCTTTCCCACATGGTTCTTATTACTAACTGGCGAGGAGAGGGTAGTCAGAGAGAGAGACTGAGAAAGAGAGAGAGAGAGGAGTAAGGGAGTGGAGCAGAAACATGTGCTGTGGTGCTCTGGGCCGAACAAACCCTACCATCCCTGTGTGCTTAAAGATGCACTGACAGACAAACAGAGCGAGAGAGAGGCGAAATAGATACTAGTACAAACCATCTACTAACAAAGAGACATTATTTCAGTATATTATTGGTGAAACAGTGGTTTGTATTTGTATTTTGTTTATAGTACATAATATACATAATATACACTCTTAAAAGATGCCGCAAAGGGTTCTTTAAGTGACGCTGTAGAAGAACCATTTGAGTTCCCTAAAGAACAAATGTAAATGAGACTTTTAAAGGTATAAAAACCTTCACATGATGTTAATTTAAGGGTTCTTCCCATAACGTTTACATTATGTGAAGGTACTCCCAAAGAACCATCCACTGAAAGGTACTTTAGCCCAGGCATGGCCTACATGGTTCTTTAGAGCAATGGTCACAGGACAGCCATTTCTGGTTTCCAACAGAACAGTTCAATTGATGGCTCTTTAAAAACTCAACTGAAACCACTCAGTTGAAAGGTTAGGAAACCAAACGTTGTTCTTTTTGCATTCCTCCAAATAACTTTCTTTAGCACCTTTGTTTTTTAAGAGCATCCTCCATGAGCACACTTGTTCTCAAGTGAATGTGTCAAAAACCTACAGCTCTTAGATCTGCTGCATACATCTCTGTACTCCTCTCTCTCTCTCTCTCTCTCGCTCTTGCTCTCTCTCTCTCTCTCGCTCTGTCTGTCTTTCTCTCTCCCTCTTGTGTTTTCTCTCTCTCTTTAATTAATACCATTCATTAATTAAGCATCAGTCTAACTGAAGACAGGAACGAGCACAACTGCAGATCACCACTTTAATTACAGTCACACACGCATGCCTCACACACACACACACACACATACACACATACACCATATACACACTTCTTTCCCTCACCACACAGCCCTTGAGAGAGAGAGTGAGAGGGTGTGTGAGAGAGAGAGAGCTAGTGTGTCTGTAGCTTCTCCTCCTCTTTTCTCTCTGTTTTGGCAGCACTGCATATTTCCCTGCCAGTGCACGCTAGTGAGCTGGATTAAGTCAAAGACAAAGTGTGTGTTTGTGTATGTGTGTGATAGAGGAGTTTGCGGTGGTCTTCTGCTTCTAACTCAATGAGTCTTTTTATATGCTCCCCCCACTCCCTCCACCTCCTGACCAGTTTAAGGGTTTTTTTCATTCGTCTCCACTTGATGCTGCGCTACTCTCCTTCTCTCATCTCTTCTCATCTCCTTTTTCTCCTCTCTTCTTCTATCCTCTCCTCTCTCCTTCTCAGTCTTCTTTTCTCATTTCATTTTTTCTCCTTTTCTCTCCCCTGTTCTCCTTTCTCTTCTCTCCTTCACTCCTCTCTGCTCTTCTAATCTTTTTCTCCTTTTCTCTCCTCTTTTCTCCCCTTGCCTTTTCTTTACTCTCCTTTCTCCTCTCCTCTATTCTCCTTTTCCCTCTTCTCTTTTTCTCTCCTTTCCACTGCTCTCATCTTCTCTCCTCCTCTCCATCTCCTCCTCTCATAATTCATCTCCTGACTACTCTCCTCTCCTACATTATCCTCTCCTGTGTTTTAATCAACTCCTCTCCTTGTTCTTCTCTTCCTTTCTTCTCCTCTCCTCTTTTTTCTTCTCTGCTCATCCCCCCTCTTCTCTCCACTCATCTTCTCGCCTCCCTTCCATCTCTCCCCTCCTCTCCTACATCTACACTCCTCCTCACGCCTCTCTTCGTTCTCTTCACTTCTCTTGTCCTCTCCTCTCCTCTCCTCTCCTCTCCCTCTCTTGTCTCCTCTCTTCCTTGCCAATCCTTTTAACTGCTGCAATGCTCCCTGAGGGTTCAAAACAGCTGCTGACTGCGGGCCAATCACAATGCTTCACACAGACTGGCTGTCCAATAAAAGGCACACACCAGCACATCACAGCCTTTCAGTGAACCAACCGCCTGTGGACAAAGCTGTCCTCTGCCACAACCAAATAAAACAAAATAACAAAGGTCAACGGCTGGCTGATGGGCCAGTCAGGTCAAATCACTTTTTGATCACTCCAAATTCTATTGGCTTGAATGTACTGAATGACCGTGAAACATTGATGAGTAACTTTTACTATAAAGTCCCAGCACATACACTCACACACATCACACCCTTTTTGCAGGTTTCACTTCCAGCCCAAGTTGGAAACATTAGCTGGATCAGGTGTGATGGATCAGGTGTTGGAGCTAAAGCCTGCAGGAGCAGGACTGGTGACCACTGACCTACGGTATTGACATCGACAGTTTTCATTAAAGTCCACTGAAAGTGATAGTTATGCATCAGATTTACTTAATTCACTTCCAAATTAATAATATACATTACATTAACACAATTATTGCCAAAGGTAAGTAAACTTAAAGACAATATTATGTTCTGTTAATATATTTTATTCATGTGGAAATTATGTACACATTTGAATATTAATAAATTCAATCTATTACTTAGGCATACACAATTGAAATCAGCCAAGAACAGAAGGGACACATTTTTGGTTCAAAAATACATGCAATTGGCAATCCAACAATATATTATTTTTATTTTAGCCAGTATGCGTTGCATTTTTATGGCCTAACTAATGTGAGCCAAGCAAGCACACTTGTGCTGTTTTTAAATGCTGCCGCTACACTTACACTGAAATGGCATTACTCATAATGTTGTAAATAATGTGCTAAATAATCAGGGGCCTCTCACTCTCGTTGTCTTACTTTATTTGATTCATGGTTTATTACTTTAAAATGGCAGTTTTCCTGACAGAGCAAATAATGTTTTTAATTTATGTTGTGACTTCGGCAAATAAAAAATACTGAAAATGTAGTAGTCTGTTTAATGTGTTCTTCAGGTCAAGATAAACAAGCTAATAAAATCGTCCAATTTGGCTGTCGAGAAATCAGGATCAGTCATAAAAATGCATGATGGGTGCATCCGCAGTATTCCTTTTTTTCAGACTGTAAGTGTTGATTCAACACAGAAAAGTTTGCTGCGTAATGTCCTGTGCGCTTTCTCAAAGTAGTTAGAACTACTGAACACTCCTGCGTTCCATTAACAACACTTATCCAGGTGAGCACTACAGCCATGCCTGAACACACGCAGAGGTGAGTATGTCCACAGTGTAGCGAGGACAGAGGGAGTGTGTGACTACTCCAAAACTGTTAATGGAAACCTTGTAATATTACCAGTGTTTTGACGATAGGCTGGTCACACTAAAAGCCCTCAGAAACACACATGAAAACGCACGCCCACGCACAAACACACGAAAACACTTTGTCTGCCCTCTGTCTCAGACTCGGCTTCTCTCTGGGTCCGAGACTCTAAGTGCTGCTGTGTATGTGTTTGAGTGTGTGTACTTACACAAGCGTATGTGTTGGTGTTTGCGCGTGTTTACACAAGTGTG